AAAAAAAAAAAAAAAAAAAAAAAAAAAAAAAAAAAAAAAAAAAAAAAAATGGATTAAAGATTCGTTGTTCCCGATTGATAAATCTCACAAGTTCCATCGTAAAATCGAAAAATAACGGGTTGCGACCGAAATTCGCAAACAGCTCTGAGCAATAACCCATCGACACGTAATCGATGGCACACGCAAGGTGTCTGTATTTTTGACGATTCTTTGACAACTGCACAATATCGTCACCAGCTGCGTTCACGAGTACATGGACGTCTACACGGAGATCAGGACGGACAACACGACCAAGCTGATAGAGACGCCCTTCGGGGGCAGGTACTGCGGCCCTATACCTCCCCGCAAGAGGGTCTCCCTCTACCAGGGCATCGCCCTCAGTTTCTACACCGACAAAAATCTCACTCTGCCAAGTGTCTTCGACGGACGCTATGCTTTTATCAACGCCTGTGAGTACACAACAAACCATCCCACCTATTTGCACGCGAAAGGTCATACAAATTCATATGCATTGGGAGGAAAGAAGAAAAGGGCGTATCCCCCTTACGGTCGATTTGCCCTTTATCTTATCCTCCTTCTTCTCCCCACAGGGACACACACTCTATGACCGCGCGGTCACGATGAGACCATAACGCGCGATCAAATCCACGCACCGCAGAAGCTCGGGCACGGACGCTGATGTAAAAGCCGATGAGTCGCAGATTCCCCGGGGTTAATTAAGCTCATTCGGCCCTTTTATCCGGACGAATTTATATTGCCACCCCCGTTTGGCTGATGCAGCGAAATCAAAAGGGACTTTTGCTTTTCATGGTCGGTCGGAGCTTAAAGACCCCCCCTCGAAGATACTCGAGCTCCAAGTCCGTTGTGCGCGTGTTTTATTCGAAAAAGCCACCCCTTTCTCCGCACGTTCGATTTAATTTAATTGACAATCCCCGTCCGCGCACACGCTTTTATATATATATACACGTGTATGCATGAATTTTTGCCAGTAAGTAATTCGTTTCGCCTCCGAAAGTTTCACCGTCGATTAAACTCGTTTCACCCGGTGTATTTATCAGTAGTTCCATAGTCAACGCGTATACACGCAAAAACTTTTACCAACCCCCGGGGTTACCTATACATCGGGAAACTTTTGAAGCCAACTTATTTCCAGCCAGTTCTTTTTAATTACCGTAGGCGCATATGTATACCTACGTACGAGCTTTGAACCTTGGGTGCTCAAACATTCACCACCGTACCTACTTTCAACTCACACAAACGTGTATAATGCAGAGCAAAAATAAAATTAAAAAAAAGGTGTCGATTGACCCGAGAGTACATAAAGGTGCTATTATGTTAGTGGCCCAACCAAGGGGTGTAAATAATTAATACATAATAATTTATCCACGTAAATCAATGTAAATTTATTTTATAAAAATGTCTACGTGAGTGAAATGTAGGACCATTGTGCGAACGAAGAAGAAAAGAGTTAGTTTTACCTGATGGATTTAGGGCACAAAAGCGTGTCCTGAGTTAACTCGATCATAATACTTATATAACCATAGTTGTGATGAAACATTATACCGATCGTTCATTATTTGGCAATGTGTATGTAACACCCACAGCTGAGTACGAGATCGGTACGCCAGCGCCGAGTCTGCCGTGCTCGTTCGTGGTTAACGCGGACGTCAAGCGTACGGGCAACATCCTCTCGCCCACGTATCCGGGCACTTATCCCAAGGACATAGTCTGCAGCTACCAGTTTGTTGGGAAACCGAGGCAACGAGTGCGACTCGAGTTTCGAGACTTTGATCTCTTCTTCGGTGGTCCCCAGTAAGGCGATTTAATTTTTTTTTAATTTCTGTCCTCCATACATGTACAAGGTGTGTACATAACATTGTGTTTCTCAGCTGTCCCTTCGACTATGTAAAAGTGTACGACGGCATAAACAACACGTCGGCCGTGATCGGCACCTACTGCGGCCAACAGAGAAACCTCGTGCTGTACTCGTCCGAGTCGAGTCTGTTTGTTCTCTTCGTGACGCTCCAGCGTACAGCGAACACGCAAAATCGCGGCTTCAAGGGTATCTTTGAGTTCTCCGAGAGCTTTGTCAAACTAGGTATTACTGTGTACAAACACTTTTTTTTTTTTTTTTTTTTTTTTTTTTTTTTTTTTTTTTTTTT